ACACAGATCCACTCTGCTGTAGCTGTATACTCACGCCTGGTTACACAGATCCACTCTGCTGTAGCTGTATACTCACACGTGAACACAGATCCAGTCTGCTGTAGCTGTATACTTATGGATGTGCACGCAGATCCTGTGAGAGCTGTGGCAGAGATCTCTATTGGGAGCACAGAAGTGAACCTGAGTCCCATGGGAGATTGGTCTGGAAGGTGTGTGTGAATGAATGTGAGGGTCATGTGACCTCAGGCAGGAAGAGATTATGCAGCCTACATAGGTGTGTTCTGTCCAACATAATACCAGTCACACGAGACTATTTAAACTTTAATTATAAAGTAAAATGAGAAGTGTAGTCCTTGGTTGCACCAGCCCACATTTCTAGTTCTCAGTAGCCACACGTGGCTGGTGGCTACTGTGTTGGAGAGTGCTGATCTAGAACAGGTCCATCATCGGGGGAAGTTCTGTCAGAGAATTCTGGCTTAGGTGAGCAGCCATGAGAGCCTAAATTAGAGAAGTGGTAATGGATGGTTGGAATGAGGAGGGGATTATGTGAGAATCGGTCTTTGTGTCTGGAGAATGCTCTGAATTGGTGGAGCCCAACTCCAGATTCCAGGCTGAGGGTCCCTCCACTTGAGTGGCACCTCTGTCTCATCCACAGATAAGACACACTCACCTCACAACCAGTGAGCAACTACCCACTTCTGCTTGCTTTCCAATTGTAACTGAATGCCCACGGCTTCATGTCATAAATGTGTACTGTATACAAAACTCAAATGTGTCTGCGTAGCCTCCACCTCCACAACCTCCCTAGGAAAATGATGCATCCCAACTGGGTATCACCCTACTCAATAAACAAATGTCCTGCAGTGAGCCAGAGGTAGAAGGTGTCTATTTCCCAAGTTAGTCACCATTACTGTGAGCATACTGTCATTTGAGCATCTCCCTGGAAAGCGGAGTACAGTTATATTGTTTAAGTATAAAGTGTGAAATGTAAGCAACAAGTTCATCTGGTGCTTGTCTGAAGACACAGCCACCTTTTTCTTAGTTCTTGCAGGACTAATAATTGTCCGTGCCGGACTTCTCAAGAGACAGACCGTTTTGTCCTAGGTGATGACGCTTAAAACAGGGATCATTCTGCATATTCAGTGCTGGTTTTATAGCTGAGCCTGCTGTAAGATGTGTACTGTATACAAAACTCAAATGTGTCTCAGG